TGTCAACACCACTGGAGAGACAGCCAAACATAAAGACCACGCGTATTTCACAACCCAGCTTTTGCTGCCGTTTATGACCTATAAAGCCACCGTAGTAAAAAAAAAAAGTACTTTAAAATACTGCCTTGCACTCCAATCACAACAACACAAAAAACTTTGAATCTTTATCATCCTAGTGGGATTAGTAGCCCTTGTTGCCCACCAGCTTCTTTTTTGCTCAGCTTTCTACTGAGCCTACTGACTAATGTTTATTTTATTGGCTGCAGTACTCTGTTTTCCTGGCTGGATTGAGCAGTGGGATGCAGTGCATGGACAAACAGGGTTTAAAACATCTGTTGTATATGCAATCTCCTACTGGGTGAACAGCACTACAGTGTAGCTATTACTCACAATGATTGGGAAGGGCAACAGGTATCAATATCAAGATCAAGTGTCTCCTACTTACCCACTTCAAATGGGCTGCCCTGAGAGATGGATTGTCCCTGTGTCGCGTCACTTGAAATGGAAACTTAAGAGCCTTTTTGACAAAGCAAGATTACAAGGAAACTTTAAAGGATTCCTGCAGCATATGGCTTAAGATCCCTTTTTTTGCCATTCAGAGTTTGAGTTTCGTGTCCAAATTCCATGCCTTTGCTGAGTCTGACGGTGTTTCCCAGTCAAAGCTGCTGCATTCTGTCTGCTCTCTGTGAGCTTCTGAGCCGAGCTCTGGATTTCAGCTGACTGTGCTGGGAGCTGAGCTGCTGACATTGTCCCCGCTCTCTCTCTCCCCCCCTCCCTCTCTTGCTCTCTCTCCCTCTCTCACTCTGCCTTTAGATCACTCGCCCCTATGCCCCTCCCCCTCTGGATTCCAGCTCCAGTGTATGACAGCATCTATGTGGATGTCAGCAAGGAGGTGCTGGATTTTCTTTGAATATAAATGCATTTTTGTACAGTATGCATGTGTGTATGTGCCTGCTGTGCGAGGCCAAGGGAGAGGGCAAGATGAAAGGAAATGACCCGCTTCCCACCCCTGCCCACAATCCCAACTCCACCCAATACATTCCCTCACTGAGCAGACAAAAAAAATGGATGGAGGGATATCACACACAACGCCCAAAGGAAACCCCTTTTCCTGTTGCGTCTTCTCATCGCCAATGCATGCATAAAAGAGACACACGCCCACATGAGCACACACACACTCCCAAATATGGGAGTCGCCATTAAGAATTAGCCCTGTGACACACACAGGAAAAGGCTTTCTCTGAGATCCAATCAGTGTTCATTGACAAGAAGGTGAGACCTTGATTGTACAACGCTCTGGTGGCCTTGTCAAGTTTACACCATTAGCTCAGTCGAATGTAATGCGTTGAGAGGGGATCAGGTGGAGGGCCACGCCACAGAGGGTTCTGTGAAAGTTCAAGTATGTTACTGTGATAATATGAGGGGTCGGCTAGTGTAAACACTGGAGTCAAAAACTTAAGACTCCCATTGCACTGGCCAGGACACAGACACAACCCCTGACCCTACAAACCCCTAATCAGCTGAGAAAATCAGGAAAGTGAAAAAGACCTCCAAACAAAATCCAAAATTTCAACTATTACATTATGAACGAGGCACTTGCGCAAATTCATTCATTATGAATTCAAAAACTCAAAAATCAGCTATTGTCCTCATTCAGTGTGCCTCGAGAAATGTCTACACATCAATCAGCAAGACATCACTGACAGCCTCTTGACCCCGAAACTGACAGATCAATACAAATCCTCTGACATTTCGAGATGCCACGCATTTTTACCTTCACTACACAACACTTTGAAGATAAGGGTCAAATGTGAATCAATTTCATACTGAGTGATCTTATCTTCCTGTAGACTGCTCGACTGCTACACAGGTTAGGTGGGGTGACAGCTTGTCTGGTGGTGATTTCTGATCAATGCTAGACTATTGATTCCAGCCTTGCTTATATAATGTGCATACAGATGCTGCTGACCAGGTTTTAGGAAAGGATTGGGAATCAGAAGAAAGTTATTATAAAAGTTCCCCCACCTTTTGTTTGATTGTTCGACCTGATACATTTAGACCCACTGGCACTGTACTGAGGACATGTTTTGGACAATTGCTAGAAGCAAAGAAAGCAAAGAAAGTACATTTGCATTTGGCCTTGCCCATAAAGTGGGATCCAAATGCATATAATAACCACCATCCATTCTCTCACATACAAACTGGAGCCACTGGTATTCCAAAGAGGGCAGAAAGGCGGAGTCACAATACCATAATATCTGTCAACTCTCTCTAGGGACAGTAGACAGATGACACCAAGTTGCTGGCGGTAATGCCTGGGTGCATTCCTGAGCGAGCCCTGGGGACGCATCCATTAACCCGGCTCTTGGACAGAGCCAGGTAATCTCCATGATGTCCACTTCCCTTACTGTCTCTTTCCCTCTTTCTTTCTGTGCAGCATCAAATCAACTCTCTCTCGAGTAATATCTCCATCCCCAAAAACAAGGGAAGAAACCCTGAGGAATAGGTTAAGTGAATGCTCCATTCTAGCTAAGTGCACCTCTGTATCATCCATCACAGCCTGGTAAATTACATCGGCTAACTGACACAAATGGAGTGGGCTACGCATGCTTGCGGTAAACATCATGCCCCCTTAAAAAAAGAGGGAGCTGGAATCCAACACCCCAATATCACTCTGTGTACCAAGGAGCTGACTGCAGATTGTGGCCTCTACAAACTTGGCTCCAGTGAAAGCGAGGTTGATGTTTACCCACAGTAAATCACATTGGATGGCAAGTGTCATGACCGATAAACCAGCTGCAGAGTATGTCGAGTGAGACTGACACATCAGGTAGGACGCTTTCCCCTTCGCAGATCTGTGCACGCTAAAATGACACGGCGATCCAGACAACCTGCCAGTCACTTGTCAGTCAGATGGGTGAAACTTGCTGAGTCTAAACCTTCCTGTACCCACTGGGGAAGCAGAAGAAAGACTCCACACTGAGCATTCCAGGCAGCAATCTTTCACAAACAAAAATTCACATCTAAAGTGCAAGAACAATCACCATCTAGGTAACAAAGTGCTAAATTTAGTTATGGGGAGTAGTTAAATGGAACTTGGCACTTTGTGGAGAGTTGGACAAAAGGTGAATGGAATATTGGACAAGAAGAAGTGGGTCACCCAAGGTGGTCTCTTCCAGGCTCATAAACCACTCTCTCTCTCATATGCAGGAGCAGTCAAACTTGATAACGGGCAAAGAAACAGCTGGAAGAGAGGCAGTAAAGAAGCATTTAAAACTGCAGATATTGGCATCAGAAGCGGTCTTTCCAGGGTTGTCATTGAAGAGAAGTGGCAAGAGTCCTCCAAACCGGCAGCTGCCAGAGCAAACATGGCAAACAGTCATGTTTTACGACATGTTGTCCCTTAATGTATTATTTAGGGTTTCTTTTGACCAGGCAGCTCTCATTTAAGTCTGTTTTGTTTAAGCTAGGAATTCCTTGTGACAGCACTTTGCACACAACCATTTCTTTCACGCCCGCACAGAGATAAATTGCCAGAGAGAAAAATACCGCCGCTGCACAAAGCCTGAACTCTTGACAGAATAAACATGAGGGCACATTTTTATACATGGTCTAATTGTATGTTAGCTATAAATCATGATAGTGGGGAACACTATACCATCCATCTTTCAAAAGCCTCCGCAGAAAAGAGGTCTAATGACAGTAAAGCCATAAACCATAAATCTAATTGTAGTCACTATGTTCCTTTGGTGACATTCTTTCCTGTCTTCATTATTTACACCCCTCCTGTATGAATGCTTACCATCTACTACTAGGATGCACTTCTACCTTAACATTGTCTTTTCTTCCATCACAAATATGTCATACTGCTTTTACCAATCTTAACTGGGAGTAAACAAGTATTTCAACAGGATTACCAGTCATTTGCACTGTGAGCTGAGTGCTTTTTGGGTGTTTTGCAAAAGTACTGGGCATCTGAATGCCTCTTTTGTCCTGGAGGCAGACTGGGCAGGGTCAGAGGTCACCCAACTGCCTGCTCCCACAGTACCTCTGCTGTCTGACTGGATATGTGCCAGCTAAATGCTGTCATGTTTGGACAATGGTGCAACTTTCCGCTGACTGACTCATGACAGCTTCATCATGCTAACCAATGATGTAATGCCTTGATCTTCGGGCATGAAGGCCATCACTATTAGACTTTGAATAATGTCATAATAATTTAATCTCAATGTGCAACATTGATGTTGGTCATCTTTCCATGATCATGAAATATGCAATGCAAACAGCCCACATGAACACCATACTTTTGCTCTAACACATCACTTCTCATAGGTCCTTTTTTACTACAATGAATCCAGGTGTGTGAACTGTAAACGGGAGACCAGAGACTGACAGAATAGTAATGGGGAAAAAAGACTGATGGTAAAACTGAAAGGGAAGGGCCTTGCTCTTTTTCCAGATGCTTCCATTCAAAAGAAAGGTTTATATATTCCAGTTGCTATTATATTGGCAACATGGGGACTTCTCTCCACAGAGTGCAACTTCAGCTGTACGACTGACACAGCGATTTATCACCGTATTTTATCCCACCATTTAAAAGAAAACGCTCAAAAGTACAGATCTTTTCAGGAGAGACTTTTCGGAATGAGTTCCTCCTTTGCTGACCACAGACTGAACCCCAGACTAAGTCCTCCATCGGAGCTTTTCCAGGTGTAAGATTGTCCTTCTTAAAATCCATTCAAAACAATGTAAATCAAGGCTTTTACGTCCCCCAAAAGCATTGCACATGTCCATGTATGGTGGATCATGTCTGGGAAGTGTTTTAGGAAGTTTAGTCCAATTCTAAACAGTGCATTTGCAGGGGGTAACCCCACCCCTTTGTATCGTCACGCCACACACAAGTGGTCATGGTTGTCACAGTATCTCCATAAAACATCTGGGAGTCATCTGTTCTGCTAAAGGAGGCCCCCTGTGAACAGGTGCGTGTCTGCGTCCATGACCTTACACCCCTTTTTCATGACCCTTGACCTCTTGTTATGGGTGGGAGACTCTTTGAACCCAGTGGCACCATTGTAAACAGACAGTGCTGTCTCAACATCCAAGGTCACATTACCTTAGAGTAAGGGCCCCGGCAATCGGGGCATGTTTGTTGCTCACCGCTGCAGATTACAGCTTCAAACAGAAAACATCCACTGCAAATTTTAATTAGCTAATGATAGGCTGTGCCTAAGGAGCTATGAGGATTATCTAGTATCATAAAGCACAGAAATAAGCAAAGTAAACAAAACGCAGTTGTAATTATGAATTTGCATAATGCTGTGACAGCAAAAGCAAGAACTGACCAAAGCTTTGAAACCACTGTGACAAAAAAAAAAACTTTTCTGTCCTCTCTCAGTAGATTTTATCACAAACCAGAGGAAGTGGATTTCATAAAAATAGCCCACCAATTTTATTCTCAAACTCTTTGGTCTAACTTGACCATAATGGGTTCAAGCAACCCAGCTAAACCCGCAGTATACTCTGAGCGACACTGCTGAAAATAGACAACAGGCTGCCATTCTTTGAAATTTTTTCTTAATCCCTCTCTTTCTTGGTAGATGTAATGCTTACACTTGCACTGTACTGCACTGAAACTGCCATATGAGTTCTCCAGAGATGACAGAATAATAACAAACACTTCCTGTTTATCTCGATACAGTAGGTCAGAGCAGTCTGTTCCGAGCCACTGTCCATT